TTTTTTTTTTTTTTTTTTAGAGAGAGGAAGGGAGAGGGAGAGAGAGAGAGAAAAACATCCGCGATGAGAGTGAAACATCGCCGATCGGCTGCCTCCCGCACGCCTCCTGCTGGGGATCGAGGCCGCAACCTGGGCACGTGCCCTGGCCTCTTGGTTCACAGGTCGATGCTCAACCACTGAGCCACAACGGCCGGTTTAATAACTATTTAAATCTGACCCTTCTAGACGTTTGAAGAACCTCTGGCTCTGAGGAGATTCCCAGAGAGTCTTTTCTACGTGGCATTGTTTGGATGCACGTGAAAGTCGGCCTCACGTCCCCTTTTCTGATGTTCAGCGAACCCCGAATGTGCAGCAGCAACGGCTAGATGCGTCTTGCCCCCCCGCCAGCGCAGTGAAGGGTGGCGTTTCGGGGTTTCAGGCTTACCTGGGCGCTCTTTTGGGTTCCAGGCTCCCTTTTTCTAAGAGGGAGGTGCCGGTGGCCAGCGGGTCTGGGTTTATCGTGTCCGAAGACGGACTGATTGTGACCAACGCCCACGTGGTGACCAACAAGCACCGGGTCAAAGTCGAGCTCAAGAATGGCGCCACCTACGAAGCCAAAATCAAAGACGTAGACGAGAAGGCAGACATCGCCCTCATCAAGATCGACCATGAGGTGAGCGAGCGTGTCCCTGCCTGTCGGCCCGAGCGCCAGGTGCCCTGGCTCAGACCCGCTCAGACCCGGAGAGGCCAAGGCGCCCGAGGTGCTCCGGCGAGAGCGCCAAAGCTGGATGGAACCATCACGCCTGGACCAAGGGGCGGGTGCAGGAGACGCTGAGTGAGGCCCGGGTGGGGAGCGGGAGGGGCCCGTGGCCGCGTCTGTAATAAGCAGCCATGAGATCAGAGAGTTGAAAAAATAGCATTTTACGTTTTTATAAACAAAAGCCGTAGGTTTATAAAGAAATTACAGGTGAGCAGTGAACATCGTCTCCCATTTGGAGGCAGCTACCGTTACGGATTTTTCTTCACTTCTATATTCTAAGTTCGAAGACAAGCCGGGTCTCCCAAATCAGGTTTTTGCAGGATTTAAAACAATACCCCATAGTTTAAAAAATTTTGGAAACTTGAATTAACCAAGCCAATGGAGGTCTCCCTTCCAGAGCTTCCCCGAGCATTCAGTGCACTAACGTGCGTGTGACTCACCTGCAGAAGGTGTTCACGCGAATGGTAACTACCTGAGAGCCTCTCTCCCCCCCTTTTCCAAACGGAAACAGTGAACTCGATTCGGGCAGCGCTGGGTCCGAACGTGGGTGGCTTCCTACTGAAATGTCCTACTTGCTGCCGTCACGTTTGCTCTGTTGAGTCGCTGAGCAGCGTCCTCACGCCTGACACTAACTCTAGATCTCATTAGACGTCAGCACTTCCCGCGTGTCGGTGGGTTGACTGTGGAGCTTTGGTTCGCTGTGTGCCACGTGCGCAGGGAGAGCGCGTTTGCTGGTTTCTTCGCACCCGTGTCGTTTTCCAGACTTCGTGAGGAGGGAAGCTCGGGGTAGGGTGGAATCTTGTCGCTGGCCCAGGGGGAGGTCAGAGCGAGCACCAGGGAGGAGTCTCCTTTTCCAGGTCTCTGCAAACCACCTGGAGGTGGGCTGGCCCGGCCCCGCTGCTCGTCGGGGCAGACCAGGCTCTGTGCCCGGCGTAGGTAACTGGCCTTAGCAAGGTTGCAATTGTCCGTTATTTTTATCAGGTTGCTGTGGAATTGCTGGTAACAACCAGTCTTTCACGGTGTTTATTGGTCCAATAGAATCACAATAACTTCTATTCGATAAGCTCTAATGCTGGGCCAGCCTCTGCTTTCATTTGTTACTTTCACCTCAGCTGCAGCGTAGCTGTAGTATCCCCACTGGATGGAGGAAGAAACAGGCTCAGAGAGGTTAAGTAACTTGCCCAAGGCCACACAGCGATGCTGCAGTGAAGTTATACCTTCTAGGTCAGCAGGGCCGCTGCGCCCCGATTGCTCAAGCCCATGGCCATTCATTCATGAAGGGGCAGAGCCTGGCCTTTCGTTGCGAAGGGATGGCTGGATTTTATTTTTTTATTTTCTTATTTTTAAAATATATTTTTATTGATTTCAGAGAGAGAGGAAGGGAGAGGGAGACAGAGAGCTAGAAACATCCATGATGAGAGTCATTGATCGGCGGCCTCCTGCATGCCCCCGACTGGGGATGGAGCCTGCAACCCGGGCATGTGCCCTGACCGGGAATCAAATCGCAATCTCCTGGATCCTAGGTCGATGCTCAATTGCTGAGCCACGCCGGCCAGGCAGGACAGCTGGATTTTAAATGCCCACAGGAGGCTGGCGAGTCCCTGTTTAGCAGCAGTGCTAGGAAGGTGTCCAGGATGTGGCAGCCTTACCGGAAGGAGGCAGCCAGAATAGCACATCCCTCAGCCCCGCTCCTCCCCGGGACTTTCAGCTCCACCGGGCCCTCGGGAGCAGCCAGCAGGGGGGCTCTTGGCAGGCAGGGCGCTGGCCCGGGTGCTGCGCCAGCCGCCCCCACAGAGCCGGTCGGGTTTGGAGTGCGTGGGCGCGGACCATGCCTCTGTTCTGGCTGGGGGGATATCCTCTTCGGAGTTTGAGCCAAGGTGGAGCGTGTGCTCGTGTCGTCCTGGCATGTCCAGGCAGGATGTGGGAGATCTTGACAGACCAGCCTCGCAGAGCGACTATGACCTGGCTCCTCCGGGCCCCGGAGCCGCCCCTCCGCCAGCAGCTCGCTCCTTGAGATGTGTTTCTAGCCCGGGAAGAAGGGGTTTGACAGCGGAGAGGTGGACGAACGTGGCTTTTCGAAGTGGGATCGGACATGGAAGGGTATTAAATTGCAGATGCCCACACGAGACCGGTTTCCACGGACTGAACAACTTTTCTTTGCGGATAGTAGTTGGAAGCGGGGAAAATGTAGACATTCCTTCCAGCCCCCGCCCCCCCCCCCGGGC